ATCTAGATAGGCGTTTTGTGGTAGAATTATAATTTGGAACCACTACACTTCGGCCACAACTAATCAAAAGCTGTTATCGACGAATCACTTAACATAAATAAAATGACACAGTTTCAAAGAAATACATACATAAATTCACTCACGCCTGTCACCCAAAGGGGTAAACAGAAATTGCGGACTTTCATTTGGCATGATCCTGACACACACAGCTCACTCGCTTCTTTCAGATCCACGCATCTACGCATAGATTATTGGTTAACAGCACTCTTGCTCATGGTCAATATATTGTCCATTTGGTCGAATAACTTTTAGGGATCCCTTACTATCTCTACCATTCTCTTCCGTAGCATAAATTTACTTTGCCACTGTTTTCCACTTCATTTTTTATCGACAAACGGGCACACGGTCGACCTGGTGATAAGTGGATGCCGTGGCCCATAGACATCTACATTTATCCTTGATTAAGAATCAAAATGCAGATATGTTGTTACCCGTGAGGACTAAGATGAAATGCCAAATTTCCAGTTAAAAAGGGTACACTCACCATACAAAACACAGCAGCATTAAGCTGCTATTTTACACTGTTATTCTGTGAGAGTGTGGTCCTTTCATGCACAACCATAATATAGCTACAGTGTAGCTCTGCCACGTATAAACTTTTCACAAAACACTTGTTCCATGTGTCCAAACCACAGAAGCATTCCTCGTTACATCGTCACCTAGCAAACCACACATATCTTTTATCACACAATTTCTCATCCTATCATTCAGAGTCAACTTTAACACACTTCGTAATGATAGCTTTTTTACAGCATAAATTCATCTTTCACGTTTCTCCTCTTGTATGGTAGTGAAAGTTTAAAATAGGGGGAAGTTTAAGTAGGAAGCAACGCAATATCGTAAATTGCCATACGTAGCTTTTTCGACACATCTGACTTCCCACAATAGAGTTGGATGGTTACATTTATTTTCAATCTTAGTGCCAACAACGTATTGAATGGTTTTTAAAGTTTTTTTACAGGATAAGGAAAGTTTTAAATGTACCTACATAGAGATAGACAACTGGTTTCGTGTCAAGCACAAATAAATTATAATATAAATGCGGAGACTATAAAGCTTTTTATCAAGAATGGGTGACGGTGAAATAGGTTACCCGCCATAAAATTTCTTTTATTTACACAATTATACTCCGCAGTTCTTTATTTTGTTGTTGTTTTCTTTGAAATTTCTCCTTTACAAATCATCGTGAAGTTTCTTAATTAAAAGTGAACAGGTACACAGGTAAAATTAAAATCAGATTCCGTTCAATGTTCAGAAAGCTTACTTAGAGTAATTTTGAATAACAACATAAACGAAAGAGATCTTTTAATTGTTTGTTCAAGGTAACAAACAACAAATTTTGTATTCATTGCTTCATTTGACATTGTTTGTGTCTCTCTAAAGTAAAATTAACGAAACGGTAAAATTCCTTTGTTGTCTTGTTCACTTTGAGGCTGTATTAAACCAGAAGCAGAATTCTAAAGATGCAGAGATGTCTGAATGACTCACTCTAAACCCGGCCGGCGGAGTCAATTCTGTAATAGACGCACATAGACATATAGGGTAATGTTTCTTCTTTATTGGTCTCAGGCGTGTGTGTGACGTAGTGTTTACACTAAGTGCTCTAGGGGATAGTGCCCGGGGCGGCAAAATTTTAGAGGGCGGAAAAATTTGGAGTGTGAGCAAAATTTGTATATTGATATAAAAATCAATGATTTCCATAAATTGGGAAGTTATTTTTAAAAATTGAGTTCTCATTGGATCAACATTTCGAAGTCTAGTATAGAGTACATAATTTTTTGATGGATTAACCATTTGATGCAGTTATTCCAAAATTTTAAATAATATCCATTTTCAATGAATAGTTGTTGTATACTTGTCCTTAATCTTAATCTATACTCAATTAAGGCAGGATGTGGTTTACAGGACTGTATTTTTTACGGTGGCCTAGGGCGAAACTTAAGGTAAATCCGGCCCTGTTGGTGGAGGTTTATATATTCAAAGAACAGTTATTCTACTTTATTAAATCAATTACTAAAAGGTAATTGTAATTCTTGGCCAGCTTAAAATTATATCTAAGCCCGAAGTATAATTGCTTTCAAACTTTCTAATTGGCTGATCTGAGAATAATCCAGTCTTGCTATACAAAGTATCCAGTCATCGATATCGGAGACTTTGCGGGGTTGCAATGCGGTAAATTTTATCGAAAAATCACTATCCCTATTATTATATAATATAATATTAAAATAAAAAAAAATATAATTTAATATTAAAAAGGGATTCTTTATTTAGAGCGTGGAAAGCATCGCCAAAAAATATGAGTAAGCGTTTAGAATATTCGAGATTTAGAAATAGAGTAAATAAAATTATAAATGATGCCAAAAACAAGTACAGGCAAATAAAAGATTGCAATGGTGATAGCAGAAAAATATGGTCAAATATTAGTACATGGTTAGGAAAAAATTAGGCAGATTTGGATTTAGTAATTAAGAGGTACTTGGGTAGATATGATACCATACATAACATCTGCACGAAATTTTCTAAAACATTCACCAAAGAAAGATTAGACATTAAGCATAATTGTAATTTAAATTTTTTAGATAGAAACATGTATGTTAAAGGGAGCGAGGTGTCTTTTAGGTATAAGAGAGTGAAATCATGTGATATAGAAAAAATAATTGATAAATTGCACCATAAAAAAGCACCAGGATTGGACGGAATTAGACTGAAAGATTTAAAGTTAGTAAAGAATAAAATAAGTCCAATACTGGCCCATTTTGTTAATATGTGCCTGTCAAAAGGTGTTTATCCTGATTTATTAAAGAAATCAATCATTCGCCCCATATTTAAACATGGTAGTCATTTAGATTACAGTAATTACAGGCCAATTGCCATTTTATCATCGGTCAATAAGATTGTTGAAAAGGTGGTTGTAGGACAAATAACTGACTTTTTGGAACAGCATAATATATTATCAGAGGCACAACATGGATTTAGAAAAAATCGCAGTACAGCCTCCGCACTTGCACTATTTTCGGATACAGTTAATGAATACTTAAATGAAGGAAAACAGGTTATGGTTTTGTTTATTGATTATAAAAAAGCCTTTGATACTTTGGACCATAATATGTTATTGCAAGCGATGGAGGAGTGTGGAATCAAGGGTCCTACAAATAACTTTTTCCGTAGCTATCTATCTAATAGAACGCTTCGCACTGTAGTGGATGGCGTTGTGGGAGAGGAGGCTAATATTAACTTGGGTGTACCGACCGGTTCTGTTTACGGTCCTGTGGGTTATATTATGCATGTAAACAGTGTATCCAATGTAATAAAAAACTGTCAAGTGTATATGTATGCGGATGACATGTGCTTGCTATTTGCCTCTAAAGAAACAAAAGAATTGCAAAATAATATACAAATTGATTTTTAAAATATAACAAAATGGGCTCATGATAATGGTATAATTTTAAATTTTAATAAAACAAAATGCATGCATATTCACTCTCCATATATTGCTGCAGCAAAAAAGACCAAATTAAATGAGATAGCTATTATAGGCCACGGTTTTGAGTGCTTGCATAATAATAAAATTAATTGTAAAGTTGTAAAGAAATTGAATTTGTTGAGAAATTTAAATATTTAGGCTTGATTATTGATAAAAACTTTAATTGGAAACCTCAAATATCTGATGTATGTGCAAGGTTGTCGGCTGTATTATGTAAATTTTATTATTTAAAATATATCTTGAACAAAAAAACTATGTATCTTCTATATTATGCTTTGGTGGATTGCCTCATAACCTATGGACTTGGTGTGTATGGTCGTACATTTTCTTCCTATTTAAAGGACATTAAAAATCTACAGACAAGATTTCTAAAACATCTTGTAAATGAAAAAGTTAAAGAAAATTGTAAGAAAGATTATGTTAAGTTATTCTCTATTTGTAAAATTTTACCGGTAGAACACAAAGTTAACATGCTATTACTTCTGGAAAACATTAATAAAAACAATTATAATGAAAAATTGGATAATAAATATAGAACCAGGAAAGTTAGAGAAGGGAAATTATTTCAGCCTAGTGTTAAAAACTACTATGGTAAAAGATGTACAAAATATTTAATACCAAAGCTTCTTAATGAAATAGATTGGCTAAGGCAAGATAGACCTAATTGCAAATTAAAAATTAAAAAGAAACTTGGGAAATATTTTTTGGATAAAATGTTAGATGTATGACCATTTAGAAAAATATTATTTGTTTGTAATACTTATAAAAATATATCCGGGTTATATTTACAATTTTTATTTTGTTGCAATGTTATGTAGGTGGGGTGTTGTATTTGTAATTGATAGAGTGTGAAATTTATTGTGTTCATGTATTAAATTTCTAGTTGTTTGTAATATTACGTGGGTTGGGTACTTATTTAATTTAACTACGTAATAGGATATAAGAGTGCATTTATTCGCCAACAAACTGTCTTTACAGTTTGGCGAAGATATGAACTGTTCTGTAATGTTTTTTTCTGTAAAGGTCATTAAATAAATAAAAAAAATATTTTTTTTTCTTTCTCCATGTTGAAATGGCAGCTATTTTGTTTTTTTTGCCTCGAGGCGCGGGTGCTTGTACTGATTAAGCCATAACTACCCCCGTAGAAGACCTAGGAAGACGAAAGAAGACTCGTTTGATAGCTAATAATGTATAAAATAAATCAATGATAACAATTTTGCCGTTTCTTTTTTATAAAAGACCAAAGAGAATTTTTAAAACAAACATAAGTTTTTTTTAATTTTTTTAGTTATTAGCTTTTTCATAAAATCTGAAGGATCAAGCTACATGTTTTTTATTTTTAAACGTTAGTACATATCGTGTGCTTAAAATTAAATCTAACAACTTAGTCCTAAGTAAGATAGTTTAAGCGGCGTCTTTTTTAAAAAAAAAGAACAAGAATTACGTTTTTGATAAAATGAGTAGTGATTCATCGGCTGGGAAAAGTCCTCCTAAGAAGAAAAATGTGAAATATGAACAGAAATTCGTAAATTTGTGGTTAAAAGATGATAGGTTCAAAGGCTGGTTAAAGAAAAGCACTAAAGGTGAGACTTATTTCTTTTGTTCTGCGTGTGATTGCGACAGAAAATGTGGTATACACGAACTCTTATGACACAAAGATTCAACAAAACACGCGAAAAATAGTTTGAAATTACAAAAAGAACAAAAACTGACATCAATGTTTACCTCAGCTTCTAACTCACAAGATACAAAAATTATAGCTAAAGCGGGTGAAGTAAAAATGGCCTGCTTTATTGCTGAGCATAATCGCATCTCATTTGAATAAACTGATTTGCGCTGTATGTCCAGATTCGAAAATTGCGGAACAACCATCAATGAGCCGCACAAAAGCTAGAGCTATTATTGTTAATGTAACTGAAGAAGAAAATATAATAGAGATGGTACAGAACAATTGCTTTGCATTACTTGTTGACGAAAGCACAGATAAGTCTACGATAAAACATTTAGCGCTTCTCGTAGGAATAGTAAAATTAGATTTCAGCGTTGAAGATAGATTTCTGACTTTAATACGTAGATGGTAAGATTTGTATCGCAAAATAGTTGAATATTTTGTTGAAATTTCTTCTTTTGTTAATTCTGATGGCGCTAACGTTATGTTTGGAGGTAAATATTCATTGGTCACTTTGTTTAAAAATGACATAGTCTCACCTTTTTTATTATTAAGAATGACAAATGCACTTCGCATTTGTCATTCCTTTAACCTTTCCGCATCATACGCATGTGAGAAATTGCCAAGGGGCGTGGAAGATTTCTGTAGAGACGTATATAATCATATACAAAATTCTCCAAAACCTATTGGAGATTTCAAAACATTTCAAGCATTCACAAATATTAAACCACACAAATTGCTCCACCCTAGCAAAACCAGATGATTGTCACTTATTGAGGTAGTAAATAGGCTTCTGGAACAACTACCAGCTATATAATTGTATTTTAAAGCTGAGATTACTTTCTGCGCAATCAATTCTTTCCAAGGCTCTCGAACCGACAACTGAATTGTACCTGGAGTTTTCGAAATTTGCATTACCTATATATACTGATCTCAATAAAGAAACGTAATCCGAGACTCCAAAATTATATTTACTATACGACAAAATACTGACCGCATACACAACTATCTTGGACTGCTTTGTACAAACTGAATATTTGAATCTCACTGAACAAGAAAAAAATGAAGCACAAAATATTTTCGACGCAAAGGGAACTAAAATATTAAACCTTGACTTCTCGAGTGAGCATTTACCGTTGCAACATATATACGTTGGTTGAATGGTGCCAAATCTGATCAGAAGAAAGAGAGAAATAGGGGAACTAGAGGAAGAACAGCTGAAAATTTTCTACTTAAAGTGTAAGGAGTTTTATATGGAGGCTGCAAAACAGATATTAAAAAGGTTTCCTTTTGACGAAAAAAGATCGTCAAGCATTAAAATGTCTGAAGATGCAAAATCCTACAGAATTTCTGGATCCTGAAATAAAAAAGAAATTACCTTCCATTGCAGATTTACACTATTCCTTCCCAAAGATTTGGCCAAATAATATAACGGAACTGGATAGAGAATGGCGAATGTTAAGAAATGTCGATTTTTCTTTCAACCAAAACAAAACTCCCGATATTATCGCCTTTTGGAAACATGTACAAGAATTAAGAAATGGAGACAAATCTCCAATATTCCCTACATTGTGTGAATTGGTAAAAAAGCTTTTTTGCCTACCACATAGCAGCGCCGCCGTGGAAAGGTTATTTTCTGCTATAAATATTATAAAAACCAAATTACGCAACAGAATATCGACTACAGATATTAAAGGAGTATTACACACTAAATCTGAAATAACCGATTCCTATTCATTTGAAGCAACAGAAAGGAACATGAAGAAATTCAACAAAAATATGTATGATTTTAATAATAAAAATGAGTGTGAAAATATTGAAGATATTAAAATGAATTATTTTTCAGTAAAAAATAATTTTACTTTGATTTTTGTTTTTTGTTGTTGTGATTATAAATATATCAATGTATGTGAGTTCTAGTAACTAAGAAAATTGTTTATTATTTAATTATATGAGCAAAATTATGAAATCTGCCTTTTTTTCTTTACCTACTGCTTTCTACTGTTTTTTTAGGCGAGTTGTTGTTTTTAAGGTTTTTTAGGTTGGCAACACCTCTCTTGTGCCAACAAACTGTGCGTTGTTATTATTGAACATTTTTGTTAAGTTTTTGTTTCGTTATTGAACTTTTTGTTTTGTTATAGATTCAGTTGTTGTTTTTAGTCGATAAAACTTAACTTATTTTTTAAAACTTAGTCCGTGTTATATGTTTCTAAAAAGCAGTTTATTTAAAAACAGTACTCCATAAGCCAATTGCTCAATATTAAAAAAAAAAACAAAGTTCTATTAATTTTCCTGCAACGCTTCCCGCACTTGTCATTTAAAACGATGAATCTTAACCGTGAACATTTGTGCGCTATGATCTATTGTGATTTTAAATTTGGTTTAAGTTTACAACGGTTACAAACAGCATTAAGGGACTCAGTTCCATCGCGCGCAACAATTTTTAGGTGGTTTGTTAAATTCAAAAGGGATAAAATTAACCTTAAAGATGACCAAAATACCGGGGTTGATTTAAGAAACGTTTTTTCTCTAAAAAATAGATTATTTCTCTTAGTGGGAAACTTTCATCTATTGGAGCTAGACATTTTAATATTCAATTAAATATGAAAACATTTAAAAATAGCATGGTAGCGATCGCCTTTTAATAATATAATAACGATTATTAAAAAAAATTTGCTTAATAAAAATTTGCAAACTGCAGTAACGGCAGAAAATGTATGGACTACTGAAATGTTGATGCGAGAAGACCCACGAAGCACATATTATGCGGACATCGAAAAGATTGTAGGCATTAGTTCGGGGAGCATTTATACCGTCCTACATCAACATCTTGGAGTGAGGAAGCTTTGTTGTCGATGGATCCCTCGTTTGCTCTCCGAAAGCGAAAAACAGACCCGTGAGGATTGGTGCCATGAAATGCATCTACATTTTAAAAACTGGGCATCTAGGCGTGATTCAGAAATCGTTACTGGTAACGAAACATGGATCTAACAATATAATCCGAAAAATAAAAGGCAATCATCGGTATGGGTCTATTTAAAAGGACAGAACGTCGGCAAAAAAATAGTAGCTAGTTTTTTCGCGAAGCGGACATTTGTCGACGTCAATGCTGGAAAATTGTAGGTAAGTAAACTTTGAATGGTATACTACAGTTGCATTACCCTAAGCTTTTCAAGCTGTGCGGGAGAGAAGATCAAAGACCGGGCTTCGGGGAATCATTCTCCATCACGATAACGCCTCCCACACCCAACATATCTCCCTTAGAATAAAAGCATTTATTGAGGAATCTGGTGTTGAAACACTAAGTCATCCACTGTACAGTCCTGACTTAGCTCCTTCTGATTTTTTTTGTTCCCAAGGGTCGAAGAAAAAATAAAAGGCAAGTTTTTTTCAAGCGCCGAATATGCCGTGGCAGCCTATGAAGAAGCGATTTCCGACCTGTCAGATCAAGACTGGCAAAAGTGTTTTCAGAGTTGGTTTAGGCGAATGGAATTTTGTATAGAGCATTATGGAGAATATTTTGAAAAGATGTAAAATAAATATTAATAGTATCTAGAATACTTTTTGTATATATCTCAAAACTTTTTGAGTGTCCAAGTTAACATAAGAACAATAAAAAGTTAAAATAAAAATCATGCCTATCAAAAAAAGACGAAATCTATTGAGGCAATGTCTAAAAAATATGTTGGATAAGGAAGGGTTTCTAACGTCTATTGTGCAGTATGTGGCCGGACAATGAAGAAGCATAGGCAACGAGCAAGTCTACGTTCTGAGTTGTACGAATGTCAGCTTTTCTAGCATTGTTTGACAGATTTCAAGTAGCAATAGTGAACAACATAATAAATAATTCTCGAAAATAACAGTTAGGTCAGAAGTGTCTTTTTTGTAAAAAATATTGCTATATTACCTAAAGTAAGTAAATATCTGAGGTCAAACTTACTTGAAGTAAAGCGATTGAACCATTAATACAGTTCGTTCGTTAGTTAACCTAGTTAGTGCTAGATCCTACACGTCATATATATTGCGTGCCGTTTCGAAACGCAATGTTTCCACCATAGAATACTATAACAGATTGTGTATTTATAACATTCTATGGTTTCCAAACATATGCAAAAAAAATCTTGAGTTCATGGTTATAAAACATAGCAATTGTTGCGCGCCAGTATTGATGGCACTAGCGCTATCTATTATCGAACAGAGGAACTAAGCTTTCTAGAAATGTTCACGCCCGAATTTTTCGCACTTAGTCGGCCGGGACCGGTATTTGCTGGAACATTTTGGATGTTTCGGTGGAAAAGGTGTATTTAAAGCCGCTACAAGCCGCGATCGGGGCAGTATTGAATTTGGCAATACAAGCGAAGCTTCGGAGCGAAATAAAGTGAACTAAAAGCGATTAGTGTGATTAATTGTTAGTGTTTTTTTTTTTAAGTTTTAATTGGTGTTCGGTAATTAAAGTGTTAATTTTGGTAACTCAATCGGCAGTTTTTATTGTCACGAACCCTAAGCTCGTAACACAATATTACAGAAAAAATACCAAACCAAAAGAAACAGATGAAAAATAAGTGGTTTTGAAAGGGCAATCCGTTCCATTACAGCCGATAAAAGTCCACTGCTGAACATAGGCCTCACCCATAGGTTGCCTCATATGGGGAATTTTGCTATACGTGTCGCTTCTTAAAACATAACGGGGCGATATCGGGTAGTGGATATTCATATACCGCCACTGCACAGAACACAAGGTATAACATGCCTTAAATATAAAAAAAAGATTTTAAATCCCAAGTCAAAACAAAATTTTTGTTCAATATTGATTATCACAAGAATACTTTTGAAAGCTAGTTATACTATTACCACTGGTTTGGAAAAAATCCAGCGAAACGTTTTAAACATTAAGTATTAAATGATTTAAAAACGTTTATTCTCTAAAAAATAGATTATTTCTCTTCATCTATTGGATTCATCATCTATTGGAGCTAGACGTTTTATTATTCAATTAAATATGAAAACATTTATATTAAATAACAATTTTAATCATTTTGATGGATAGCTCCTGCATAATTTCTGGTACTTTTTTTGTAAAAGCGTAATTCATGACAGAATTAATAACTCTTTGAAGTCGAGTAACTTGTACACCTAACTAGCTTGTGCTTCTTTCTAGCATTTAAAGAATTTATATACTCCTTCGGACTTAGGTTACAAATTACTTTCATCGCTCTCTTCTACAAAACACTGATAGTTTCGCTGTAAGTTGAATTATCACAGAGCAAGGTTCCATACAACATAATACTATGAAAATAACTAAACTAAACTCATCTAGTTGTATCAACACATTAAGGGTTCTATTTAAAAAAAAAAGAATATGCAGCAAAACTAAGTTTACTATCTATTTTAGATATATAGATAAAACTTCGC